TGCCGCACTCCCTCAGGACTGCAATAGAGCATTACTGCTGGTTTTCTGACCTCCAGCCCTCCTGAACCTACAGCCTTGTGATTAACAGTTCTGAGAGGCGGGGGGGATGGGGTTGAGGGGTGGTGTGATGAACAAACCCATCTCGAAAAACCATCAGAAACACAGGTCTGAATTCAGTGCTCAGGCTGCAAGGTTGCTAATCACGTCTCGATGCATTCACCAGGATGCAGTGGATATCAAGTTGCTGAAAACCTTCTTTAAACTGTCTTCATCCAACTGGGCTTTAAAGTTTCAGGAACAGATGAGGGAGACGGTGGTCAGATCAGAGGTTTAATATTTCGGAACTCCGCGTTCATGGTCTGGGGACACAGATTCAAATCTCAACGTTATGATTTGGATTGTGCAAAGTATTTTGCTTTGATATGAATGTTTGGCATGCTGTCAAAACAGAAATGAGACTTGCCCTGTGAAAATTCTTCTCCAGGTTAACATCCGCATCTACCATTCTTTGAGATACAAGATGGCGGCGGGTTAGGGTTCCTGAGCCGGGGATAACCACTTCGGCCGCTTTTCTTTCCTTCTCTTCTTTTCTGGCAGTTTCTCCTTTTCTTTAAACAGTTATTTCATCAGTTTTTTTCTCGCCTTACCTTCTGGGGAGAACTTGGTCGTGGAGGTAGCGTTGATGGTAGGAGCTGTGGGCCCAAAGCAGGGGTCTTTGGCCCGGGGCAGCCATTGCAATGCTGCCGTGTCTTGTTCGGAATCTGGAGCGTGGAAGTGGCTTCGGGGCTCGGTGTTGTACCAGGCTGGAACCACGGCGATCTGCAATGAGAGGGCTGGTGCTCGCTGCAGAGGAGACACCAGCTCGGCATGGAGAATCGGGAGCCCTTGTGGGGAAGCCTAGTGTGGAGAGTTTGCAGGGCCATGGCTAACCAAGGATTTTAATTCTTTATTTTGTTTCCTACTTTATATTAAGCAGGGGGGAGGCAATGGCCTAGTGGTATTATCGCTGGACTGTTGATCTAGAGACCAAAATAACATTCTGTTGACCAATTCAATAAACATCTGGAATTAAGAATCTAATGGTGACTGTGAATCCATTGCTGATTGTCGGGAAAAACCCATCTGGTTCAATAATGTCCTTTAGGGAAGGAAATTGTCATGTTTACCTGATCTAGCCTACATGTGACTCCAGACCCACAACAATGTGGTTGACTCTGGACAATTAGGGATGGGCAATAAATGCTACCTAGCCAGCGATGCCCACATCCCATTAAGGAATAAAAACTGTAATGTTTAACTTTCAACTTATTTCTTTATTTTTCTAATTTATCTCTAAGATTTTGTACCTAGGTAACTTTGTGCCTAAGATGGTGCCAGAAATGGTGACTTTGTACACTGTACTCCTGTATTTGAGTACACGAAACAAATAAACTTAATTCTAAATTCGTGAACCTCCATCCATTCCAACTTATCCTAAAGCTGCCTTTGCTGAACTGCCTTGTTCATTCTTCTGCCTCATGCACGCTCCACCACATCAACTCCACATGTCTCACCCTATCGTCTTTATCCCTAATTCCCTCAGCATCCACAGCAGTTTCAGCCTTGAGTACTCCTAGTTCAAGTATCTGTGGGATGACAGAATTATTAGGATTGCCAACCCTTTGAGTGAAATCATTGCTCCTAATCTCTTACAACAACAACAAAAACAAAGTTGCTGGTAAAGCTCACCAGGTCTGGCAGCATCTGTGAAGGAGAAAACAGATTTAACGTTTCGGGTCCAGTGACCCTTCCTCAGAACTGATGTTGCCTGGGAAAATGTCAGCTTATATGCAGAAAATGCTCCTTATCTCTTGTCTACCTACTTATTTTGACCAAGATGTCATTCAACTCATTGTTCTCGAAACCTGCTGAGGGAGAATGCTCTGCATTTGCCCTACGTGGGATGTGCCCCTGTGTCAATACAAGAGAAAGGACATTTCACTTTTGAAAGGGTAATATATAAGTTCCACATACAGCAGATGAAATGTCCAGGCTATTTCCAGCATTACAGTAGAGCTTGAGATCCAAAGCCACGATCTTCCCATTCTTCTGAAACCCGACCTCGAAGCGAAACAAAGGAAGAGTTGAGCAAAGAATCCCTGAATTGAGCGCAACCAGTTCCATTCACAGCCCTCCTCACTTGCCCTGTCCCATTCCCGTGTCCATACCTTGTAGCGGCCCAGAAAAGGATTTCTTCCACCAGTCACCAACATATCCTCATCACGATTCAGTGAACATCGAACAGGTCGCTTTGTCCTATCAGAGGAACAAGGAGAGAGATAATGGGGTGGCGCAGGAGCTGTGTGCATAGAGTTGAGGAACCGCGAAAGGGAAAAAAGATGTGAGGTGTGTACAAGCCTCCTAGCAGTAACCAGGATGTGGATAAGAAATTGAATCAGAGATAGAAAAGGCATGTAAGAAAGACAATATTACAATGGTCATGGGGGATCTTCAATGTGCAGGTGGAGTGGAAAAATCCGATTGGCAGTGAATCCCAACGAAAGGAATTTGTGGAACATCTGCGAAATGTTTTCTGGAGCAGCTTGCAATAAAGCCCACTGGGGAACAGACAATTCTGGATTTGGCGATGTGTAATAGAGTCATACAGCATTGAAAAAGGCCCTTCAGCCCACCGTATTTATGCCAACTAACAAACACGAAACGACATTGTGAGTTCTGAGGAAGTGTCACCGGATCCGAAACGTTAACTCTAATTATTTCTTCACAGATGCTGCCAGGCCTGCTGAGCTTTTCCAGCAACTTCTGTTTTTGAAACAACAAACTACACTAATCTTATCCTTGATTCACTGTTGTTGGCTTATCCCTTTCTAGAATCCTTCTTTGCTGGAACATTTCTTTGTTGTGAGCTACAAACTATTTTCCTTAAATGTTTGCCATTGTTCTTCATATGTTTTTGCTGCTAAACTCCTTTACTGGTCCTCTCCAGGCCACTCTGCCCTCATTCCACTGTAAGTGCCCTTGTTTAAGCTTAGCACGGTCGTTTCTGGCCCAAGCTCCCCTACCGCCCCCTTCACACTGAATACTAAGTTCAACCATGTTATGATCACTGCTTCCTAGGGGATCTTGTACTTTAACATTGCTTATTAAAGCTTTTACATTACAAAGTGCCAGATCCAAAATAGCCTGATCCCGAGCTGGATCCACTACAAATTGTTTGAGGAACCTGTCCTGGTTAGCACAGTTGGCTAAAAAGCTGATCTCTGAGGCAGAGCAACACTACCAGCATGGGTTCAACTTCTGGGTTCAGTTCACTGGGTGTTTAACATCCATCAACGGAACCTCTTTGATACTAACGCAGAGGTAAAAACTGTAGATGCAAAGTGGGGTGGAGATGGTTTACTTTGCCTAGAATCTATGCACAGAAACAATAATGTGATGATGACCAGATTATTGGCTGCAGGTGAGTGCTGATGGGTTTAGGATAAGTATTCAGCAGGACTCCCGGATTGGAACCACTTTCTGCCAAACCAGAGAGGTGTGGTGGGTTCACTGTCACAGTTGTGTTCAAGCTGGTTAGGTTTGCATGGCAATTTGTTGGTTTTCATGGTTATTAAGTTAGATATAGGATCAGAAACGGGCCTTTCTTCCCATCTAGTCTGCTTGGCCATTCAATAAGACTGCGGCTCCTGTGATAGTCTTCAACTCCATTTTCCTGCCTTTTTTCCCAAAACTTACTGAGAGCCTATGCCTAACCATATCAATCTCACCTGCTTCACACTGTCATTACCCTGACTGAATTCAGTTCTATAACTGCAGAGACTTGAACTCCCTACCTCATCGTTGTTATCCATTTGCAACTGTTGAAGATTTCCATTCTTGAGGAGACTTATGGCCGTGATAATGTACTTTCCTGTCTCTAAAATGTAGCCATTACACCATGATATGTTCAGGCTGGTACAGAGGTTAAAGGGAGCAATTGACAAATTGACAAGGCAGGCAAAAGCACAGCAGGGTCGACCTAAGACTGATGAACTGAACTGCACTTATTTCAATGCAACAGGCCTAACAGGTAAGGCAGATGAACTCAGGGCATGGATGGGAAGACGGGACTGGGTTATCATAGCTATCACAGAAATGAAGGAGGGACAGGACTGGTAGTTTAATGTTCCTGTGTATAAGTTCTATAGAAAGGATAGAAAAGGGGACAAGAAAGGAGGGGCAGTTGCATTTTTGACTAGGGAAAACATCACGACTGTACTTAGCGAGGATATTTCTGGAGTATTGTCCAGTGAAGTTATATGGGTGGAACTGAGAAATAAGAAAGGGATGATCACTTTGATGGGACTGTATCATAGAGCACCCCTTCCAATCTCCCCAATAGTCAGCAGGAAATTGAGGACCAAATATGTAGGGAGGTCTCAGAGATCTGTAAGAATAGTAGGGTGGTAATGGTAGGGCATTTTAACTTTTCAAACATAGAATGGGACTGAGATAGTGTTAAAGGCCTGGATGGGGAGGAATTTGTTAAGTGTGTTCAAGAAAACTTTCTAATTCAGAATATTAATGTAGCCACTGAAGAAGGAGCAAAGCTTGACCTACTCTTGGGAAATAAGGCAGGCCAGGTGACCAAGGTATCAGTAGGGGAGCACTTTTGGGACCAGTGACCATAATTCTATTTTGTCAACGCATGGCAGGAGGACTGCAGCGGTTCAAGAAGGCAGCTCACCACCACCTTCTCAAGGGCAACTAGGGATGGGCAAGAAATGCTGGCCAGCCAGTGACACCCACATCCCACAAAAATAAATAGAAAAATAAAGTTTTAAAATAGTGATGGAAAAGGATAGACCGGATCTAAAAGTTAAAGTTCTAATTTGGAGCAAGGTTAATTTTGACTGTATTAGACACACACTTTCAAAAGTTAATTGGGATAGATTATTATAACCAATTTGGATGAGAATATAGGAAGTAAGTTTGTGGATGACACCAAAATTGGTGGTATACTAGACAGTGAAAATCGTTATCTCCGTGTGCAACGAGATTACGATCAGATGGGCCAATGGGCTGAGGAGTGACAAATGAAGTTTAATTTAGATAAATGTGAGGTGCTACTTTTTAGCAAGGCAAATCAGGGCAGGAATAACACAGTTATGGTGGGGACCTGAGGAGTGTTGTCGAACAGACAGACCTAGGGATTGAGGTGCAAAGTTCCTTCAAAGTGATGTCCCAGGTCAACAGGGTGGTGAATAAAGCATTTACTACGCTTGCCTTCATTTTTCAGTGCATTGAGTATAGGAGCTGGGATGTCATTGTTGCAGCTATACAAGATATTGATGAGGCCACTTTTGGAATACTGCATACAATTCTGGTCACCCTGCTATAGGAAGGATGTTATTAAATTTGAAAGGGTCGAAAATGATCTGCAAGGATTTTACTGGAACTGGAGGGTTTGAGTTATAAGGAGAGGCTGGATAACCTGGGGATTTTTTCCCTGGAGCAACGGAGGCTGAGGGGTGAACTTTTGGAAGTTTATAAAATCATGAGAGGCATAGATAAAGTGAATAGCTAAGGGTCTTTTTCCTAGGATAGGGGAGTCCAAAGCTAGAGGGCGTAGGTTTAAGTTAAGAGGAGAAAAGATTTAAAAAGGGACTTGAGGGGCAACTTTTCACACATGGGCTGGTGCATGTAAGGAACAAGCTGCCAGAGGAAGTAGCAGATGTGCGTACAGTTGCAACATTTAAAGACTTTTAGACAGGTGCATGAATAGGAAAGGGCCAAATGCAGGCAAATGGGACTAGTTGAGTTTAGGAAACCTGGTCAGCAAGGACAAGTTGAACCAAAGGGTCTGTTTCTGTGCTGTATGACTCGATGATATCCAACAGGGACAGACAAGTGAGTGGAAACATCCACTTTAGTTGTGTGATTTCTATTTTTCTTTTCTCTTGGTGGGCTGTGTGTGTTGGAATTCGCTTCCTCAAAAGACAGTGGATACAGAATCTTTCAGTATTTTTAAGGGAGATGAAGATAGATACTTGATTACCAAGGGGGAGAGAAAGAACATGGAGTTGAGGTCAAAGTTAGATCTACCACGATCACCTTGAATGGTGGAGCGGGCTTGAAGGGCCGAGTGGCCTACTGTTATTCCTTGTTTGTGTGTTTGTATGGTGTGTATTTAATGCGGTCTCTACCTATATCAGTTTAATGTGAGTTAATGTGGCAGTTTTTGAGCCATTGTATATATTGACCGCATGTTGACATGACCATGGATTTCCTCATTTCCTTTGTTAGTTTCATTAAGACTGGTCCCTCAATCTGAAACTTACTTGCAAGCAGCGACTGCGACGACTGTAGACAGCAGCGAGCTGCGTGTTTCCTTGCCCCCGAAGCCCCCTCCGATCCTCTTCACACGACAAACAATCCTGTTGGCGGGGACACCCAACGCGAGAGCAACGAGGGTCTGTGGGAAGGTGTGACTGAAAGTTACATGGGATTTAACAACATGGGAAAAAGCCAATCGGGTAAGCGTATGCGTGTGATCTCTTGCCTGATCGGTACAGCTCTCTATTGCTTTCCATTTCATGTAACTTATCTAATGTTCCCTTAAATTTACAGCAAGATTTGCATTTACCAATCACAGTCTTCATGAAGAGCTTGCAAAGTGGAATCAGTCTTGAAGTTTTGGAAGCGCAATCAGTTTGCACACTGTCGCCAACAGCAACAGTGATACAGCCAGATAATCCTGTCTTTGCTTAAGGGATTGACAAGGACATCAGAGTGTATTCTCCAGATCTCCTTCAAAATAATGCCACGTACCTGCCTGAAGGGTCTAACAGGGCCTCAAACACGTCCAAAAGACAGCACCCCTGACAGTGCAGCACTCCCACGGTACTGCACTTGGAGGGTCAACCTCGATTCCATGTGCAGGTCTCCAGGGCATGCCTTTGTACCCTCAACCTTCTACTTCAGCTGAGAATTGTACCATTGAGCAACAGGATGGAAAAACAAAAGGGGGTATCATTTTCTAATCCATGGTCCCTGCTATTTCCAACCCTTCCACTCGCTGTGAAGAGAGCTCCCTACTCCATTTCTGCTTACATTCCTCGTTCTTTACCCGATGGGCACATTGTTAGAAGGGCAGTTCCAGGATTTTGACCTGGCAACGGTGAATATTGACCTGAAGGTTGTGCGGATCCTGATGTGGACACGGTCAGCTCCAGTAATTTTGGGAAAGGCATAGGATGCCACTTACACCCTGGTGTCCAATGTCTCACACACACATACACACACACACACACACACACACACACACACTCAAAAATGGACCAAGAGCACATCATCAGAGAGAGAGGAACTGATTCGTTATGCTGTCACTGCTATGCATTGTGCAGGCATAAGCTATTTCTCATGGAGGTCCCTGATGCTAAAGAAACGCCAGCTGATCCCATTGGCATTGAGGTCAGAAACACCTGCCTGCATTTGTGAAGGGTTCTGCGTTGATACAAAGATTTCCATTTCACCGTCTTCGCCCCTGGGTATGGCCACAGTGCACTGCGTCTCCAGGTAAAAGTGCTCCTGGCCTCCAATGTACATTTCCCCTACAGAGCACCATTGACACAAGTTAGGGCACACCTCACATGAACAAACGGCAAAAGATTGAATCAAGATGTACTTCAGGTGCTGATAAGTAAAGCATTAATTGAATTTTGTAGCAATAGGGGGGCCCATTCACTCCAGTATGCCTGGCACAGTGCTTTGAAAGACATAAAATATAATCAAGGGGCTCCAATGGCATAAGACTTATCCTCAGTTAGACCCTCCCAGGTATCCATTATTCTGTATGTAAACCATTAGAACACTTTGATTAGCTTCCAGTCTGTAATCACTCCCAGGTATCTATTATTCTATATACAAACTATCTGAAACCCTCGATTAGATTCCAGGCTGTAATCAATCCCGGGTATCCATTATTCAATATATAAACTATCCTGAACCCTCGATTAGATTCCAATCCGTAATCACTCCCAGGGATCCATTATTATATACATAAACCACCTGAACCCCTCAATTTGATTCCAGTCTGTAATCACTCCCAGATGTCCATTTTTCTATATGTAAACCATCTGAAGCCTCAATTAAATTACAAAAGTCTGAACTCTCTCTTATTGTTGGGTAAATACTCGATGAACAGACTTAATACTCATTGAGTGTATACAACTTTATCATGAAATGGAACAGACCCTCAATTATGTCATCCGACTGTGCAAATCCCAGATCGACGTTTCCATTCTCAATTTTCTTCTCAGGCATGTGAAATGATTTGTGGGTGATCGCCTCCTGTTTGCAAAGAGATATCCGATCACTATCGGCAATTAACACGAAGCTCTTCAAATTGAGCATTGAACCTAGTCTGTGCTCTCATGGGAGCACAGGAGCTTTTAAACTGGGTCAGGAGCTTATGACCTTGCACTGACAATGTCAATGTTAATGTCAATGTAACAGGGTTCTGACTTTCTGAGAAGGTCATGCAGATAAAGCTTATCTGCCTTCACTTCCGCACCTACCAATGTGTCAAAGTTGTGTTTTGCAAACAATTAGGCGATTGCCCAGTGGTACTACTTCTAGACCATTAATCCGGAGACCTTGGTAATGTCCTGAGTTCAAATTCCACCACGTGGAATTTGAATTCAATAAAATTCTGGAATCAAGAGACTAATAGTGATTATTATAAATTTCTTTTTTTTAACTATCCTATGAAGTAATGCTTAACTTTAAACTCTCATTTTCTTTTCTTACTACTTTGTACCCAGGTACGTTTGTACCTAAGATGGCACCTTGTGTGGTGACACCGTATACTTTTCACTGTACTCCTGTACTTGATTAAGTGACCATAAAATCTAAACTCTAAATATCTAATGAACCCATTGTCGATTGTCAGGAAAAACCTATCCGGTTCACTAATGCCCTTTAGGGAAGGAAACTGCCATCTTTACCTGGTCTGGCCTACATGTGACTCCGAACCCACAGCAATGTGGTTGACTCTTAACTGTCCTCTGGGCAATTAGGGATGCCGCCTAGCCCGCGACGCCCTCATCACGTGAAAAAAATGGAAGAAAAAAACATTTGTGCATACGTTTAACAACAAACTAACAACTTCTTCCACAGCAGAGCAAAGTGGTACCAGTTTCTTTTAAGATAAGATGCTGTTGGTTTTTATTTGTGCATGCTAATTTGCAATAAGAACCTTGATAATAAATATTTCTTTCCAAAACATATTACAGCTGTTGAAGTTCCTTTGATGTAGACACTGCCATGAAGTCAGAAATGTAATAGTCCATTAGCGTAATACAAGATGATTGGGATAATGAACACCTAATTTGTGCTTTAGTTAAAATGTGCAGATGCTGGAAATCTGATAGAAAAAACAGAAATTGCTGGAGAAACTCAGCAGGCCTAGCAGCCTCTGTAGAGAGAAAGCAGAGTTAATGATTTGGGTGCAGCAACACTTATTCAGAGAAGAGTCATTCTGGACTCAAAGTGTTAATCCTCTTTCTCTCTCCACCAATGCTATTGAGTTTCTTCAGCAATGTGTGTTTTTGTTTCTGATCTCCACCATCAGCTGTTCTTTGAGTATTTTTGGAACTTCAAGCAAGGTCAGCTAGGAATATCAGAATCTATATTACAAGGAAAGGGTGATTTTTTTTTCTGGTAAGTATGTTAAGTAGGGATTCTATATATAAACCATCTGAACCCCTCGATTAGATTGCAGACTGTAATGTCTCCCAGGTATCCATTATTCTGTATATAAACCATCTGAACCCGTCGATTAGTTTGCAGACTATAATGTCTCCCAGGGATCTATTATTCTGTATATAAACCATCTGAACCCCTGAATTAGTTTGTAGACTATAATGTCTCCTAGGGATTTATTATTCTGTATATAAACCATCTGAACCCCTTGACTAGTTTGCAGACTATAATGTCTCCCAGGGATCTATTATTCTGTATATAAACTATCTGAACCCCTCAATTAGATTCCAATCTGTAATCCTCCCAGGTATCCATTATTCTATATATAAACTATATGAACCCCTCAATTAGATTCCAATCTGTAATCACTCCCAGGTCACCATTATTCTATATATAAACCATCTGAACCCCTTGTTTAGATTCCAGTCTGTAATCACTCCCAAGTATCCATTTTTCCATATATAAAGTCACAGACTCGGGACAGGCAATAAAAGCTCAATTTTTTCATTCATTGGGAGAATAATGGCCTTGTGGTATTATTGCTGGGCTGTTAATCCAGAGACTGAAGACAGGTTCTGGGGACCTGGGTTTGAATCCTGCCACGGCAGATGGTCAACTTTGAATTCAAAAAAATATCTGGAATTAAGAACCTGACAATGAATCCATCCCCGATCATTGGGGGAAATAAACCCATCTGGTTCACTAATGCCCTTTAGGGAAGGAAACTGCCATCCTTACCTGGTCTGGCCTACATGTGACTCCAGACCCACAGCAATGTGGTTGACTCTTAACTTCCCTCTGGGCAATTAGGGATGGGCAATAAATGCTGGCCTGGCCAGCGACGCCCTCATCCCGTAAATGAATTTTTAAAAAAAACTTTGAAAATAGGCATCTGCCTGGGAAGGGTTGGCTCCAGAAAATTAAGGAGTGTGGTCAAGAAAGGGAAAATCTATCTACAGCTGTGAGGACAACATTTAGTGAAGTAAATGTTGAACGATATCAATGAAACACACAAATTATCCTGTTGTAGGAGATAAACAGAATAGAAGAAGTTGATATGAACAAGAGATATTTTAGAAACTGGTTCGGATCTGACTGACCTTTAACCTGCAATGAACTCTGCAGCTAAAACACATTGATTGTTCAAATTCAGATTTAATTATCATATGCCGAGATAGTAGTTAAGGTTATAATTGAAATTAAATAAAATTAAGCACCCAGAACCAAGGGTGACAGTCTGCAGACTTGGGGTAAGCCATTAGGGGGCAATTTCTTTACCCAGATAGTGGGGGATCCTGTGTCACAGAAAGCGGTTGAGGCCAAAAAATTGAATGCTTTTTGTAGAGGAGTTAGATAGCGTTCTTAAAAGGATCAAAGGGTATGGGGAGAAAGCAGGAACAGAGTATTGAGGTGGATGGATAGCCATGGTCATATTGAATGACGTAGCAGGCTTGAAGGGCTAAATGGCCTACTCCTATTCTTACTTTCAAGAATCCATGCTTTTAAATATACCATTAGGCATCCAAGGCTGCAGTAGCTACTAACTTAAGGAGCAAGTTAAACGCATCCCTTCACAGTATCATTATATAAATGGAGAACAGGCTATATAGTGAGTAATATAATCAGGTGGAGTGATTTACCTGAATGGTGATAATAGGTTTAAGCTTCTCATATGTAATCTTTACCGCTTTTGCAGCTGTTTGGGCATGAGCTTCTGTGTCAGCAACAATTGCCCCAATGACATGTCCAACACAAGTGACCTACACGGGGAACAAAACAAAAAGGGGTGGTTACAAAACATCGCTATCTCGAGGAATAATTCCAGACTTTGTGCGACTCAAGGGGAGCCTCACCCACAGGGTGAGCTCTAGGTCCCTAATGACCATGGATGCCGAGCTTATGGTGGGGTTGTGTATGCTGCACATTCTTCTCATATGTCCACCATGGGTAATAACTGCAGGGAGAACAACAGCCTCCTCGCAGGCCCATGCCACAGCTTGAGCTCTGTGGACTGTGTTCCCTGTAAAAATAACTCCACAGAGGCCATAATCCCCTCACCTTTTATTAACACGCAAATAGCTCTTGTCTGTAGTACTGCCTCATACAGAACCAGACACCCTAGTGTCAGTACACCTGACACTCAACCTTTTTGTAACATCCAGGGCTCCCTGATTGGACCAGATTAACTGCCCCAGTCAGGGAACTCATATTCCAACTGGCTGACCTTGTTATAATCACTGCATTCCTCACATCACAGGATTGCCAATGATGGTGGTGGAGCATTAGCTTTAGGTATGAAGGAATTGTGTCACTTCCAAAACTTGGGAGAGATCGCACTGCAGTTCTAACTTGATAAAGTCTAATCATCTCATACAACCATCAGCTCTGCATCAGCATGCAGAACCGGATATTAAGTGCCCATTTCTTTTCTGGAATTAACTTGTTGTTCCATTACAGTAAAACTTGGGAGACTCAATGTCTGAGTTTGTGCCATTGACAATGAAAGGTCATTGGCTCTAAATGTTGACTTTGTCTCGTCACAGATGTTGAGTCTCTTTCAATCTTTACTATTTAGGACACGCAGTACTCATAGCACTTTGCTTTTGCAAATATTTACACCATAGATGAGTGGAATTTACCTTTAGTTTTGGATAGTGGAGGCAAAATATCAGGTGTCTGTTAAAACACGGCCAAATGATTTAGAGGTGGAGGGGAGTGATGGGAGCAAATTCTGGTCAATACCTTTCATTGTCAACAGAAGATGTTCCCTCAGCGACACAAACTTAGGCTTTGTGCATCCAGCTTCTACTGAAGTGGAAAAACACGTCAATTCCAGAAAAAGAAAAGACAGGCACTTAATATCTGGGTCTGCATTCTGACATAGAGCTGAGGGTTGTATGAGGCGATCGGATTTTATCCGGTTGGGACCACTATGCGATCTCTCCCAAGTCCTGGAAGTGACACACTTCCTTCTATCTTTCCAAAAAATCGAACTGTCAAATCATAGCAGACTCTTAGAATGATGACAACACAGTTGGAGGCCATTCGGCCCATCATGTCTCTGCCAGCTCCCTGCCAATGCAACCCACCCAGTGCCACTCCTTTTTCTTTCCTGGAGCCTTTTTCTCTTCAGATAATTATCCAATCCTATTTTTTGAAAGCCACAATCTCAGGCATTACACATTCCAGATCCTAGCAACTTGCTGTGTGAAAATGATTTCCCTCAGGCTCATCAGCATCAATCAGTGTCCTCTGGTTGTTGGTCTTCCACCAATGGAAAATATTTCTATCTACTCCATCTAGATCCCTCAATCAAAGGCCCCAAGCTTCTACAATCTATCCATGCAACTAAAGTTCCTCATCCCTGGCAACCATTCTCGTGAATCTTTTCTGCACCCTGTCTAATGCCTTCATGTCCTTCCAAATGTACAGTGCCCAAATCCAGAGACAAAAATTGAACCTTCTGACGTCCATTCCACTGATATCAAAGGATTAATGATCAAACAAGTCCAAGACAAATGATGAAGCTCAACCCCAATTCAACACTGTTTTAAGAAACGTAGACAATGGGAGCAGGAGGAGGCCATTCGGCCCTTTAAGCCTGCTGCACATTCAACATGATCATGGCTGATCATCCAACCCAGTCTCCTGTTCCCATTTTCACCCCATACCCTTTGGTCCCTCTAGCCCTAAGAACTGTATCTAAACTCCTTCTTGAAAGCATTCATTATTTGGCCTCAACCACTTTCTGTAGTAGTGAGTTCCACAGGCTCCCAGAGTGAGGACATTTCTCCTTATCTCAGTCCTAAATGACCTACCCCACATCCTCACACTATGACCCCAGGATGTGGACTCCCCAGCCATTGGGAACAGCCCTCCTGCATTTACTCTATCTAGTCCTGTTAGAAACCTATAAAATTCTACGAAATCGTGTGCCTCATTCTTCCAAACTCAATATAGTCTTAACTGATTCAGTCTGTCTTCATACGTTAGTCCTGCCATTCCCAGGAATCAGTCTGGTAAACCTGTTATATACTTTCATAGCCAGAACATCCAGAAGTGGGCTCACCACATTTACTGGATGACAACGTTGCTCTTTTACTCAGAACCTCTCACTATGAAGGTCAACGTACCATTAACTTTCTTCACTGCCTGCCACACCTGCATACTTTCAGCATCTTGCCTATAAAGGCAGGCAGGTTACATTGCTCCTCCTCCTGTCCCAATCTATCACCATAGAATATGGAACAGTACAGCACGGGAACAGGCCCTTTGGCCCACAATGTTGTGCCGATCATGACACCAAATTAAACTAAACTTCTGCCTGCCCTTGGTTCATATCCCTCCATTCCTTATTGCCCATCCCTAATTGCCCAGAGGGCTGTGGGGCTGGAATCACGTGTAGGCCAGACCAGGTGAGGATGGCAGTTTCCCTCCCTAAAGGGCATTAGTGAACCAGATGGGTTTTTCCTCAACAACCGACAATGGATTCACAGTCATCACTAGATTCTTCATTCCAGATATTTATTAAATTCAAATTCCACCATCTGCCATGGTGGGATTTGAACACAGGTCCTCAGAATGTTGTCTGGGCCTCTGGATTAATAGTCCAGCGATAATGCTACTAGGCCGTTGCCTCCCCGTATCTAAAAGCCCCTGTTATAGCTGCCTCCATCACTACCCCTGGCAACGTGCTCCTGACACACACCACTTTCTGTGTGAAACAAGTGCCCCTCACATCTCCTTTGAACTTGCCCCCTCTCACCTTACATGCATACCCTCTAGTATTAGACATTTCAACTCTGGGAAAAAGATTCTGACTGTTATTTCTATCTATGCGTCTCATAATTTTATAGACTTCTATCGAGTCTCCCCTCAGCCTCTGCTGCTCCAGAGAAAACAACCTGAGTTTTTCTAGCCTCTCCTTATTGCTCATACCCTCTAATCCAGGCAGCGTTTTGGTAAACCTCTTCTGCACCCTCTCCAAAGCCTCCATATTATTCTTGTAATGTGGTGACCAGAAATGAACACAAGTGCGGCCTAACCAAAGTCTTATAAAGTTGCAGCATGACATCTTGACTCTTGTACTCAATCCCCCAACCGATAATGGTAAGCAAACCGTACGCCTTCCTTACCACCCTGTCTACTTGCGTGGCCACTTTCAAGAAACTATGGGAGAGAGTAATTTGCCTTCCTACTTTTGCTACCAAATTGGTAACCTCACATTTACCCCCAACATACTTCATCTGCTTGGAATTTCCCCCACTCACTCAACTCATCCAAACCACGCTGAAGCATCTCTGCAGTCTCCTTGCAGCTCACCCTCCCACCCTTTTGAGGTGAAGCTTAAGGCTAGCCCCCAGTGATGTGTGAATCACGATGACTAACCACTCCATCAGCGAACACTGTTTCATCCATGAAGATGTGCCCCGTTTGGTTGCTCCCAGGGACGTCCTTAGCTGTGAGGAAGCACATGACTCCAGCAACCTTCAGGGCTTCGCTTGCGTCAATTGAGCTGCGGAGAATGTGAGAAAGAAGTGAGTTTGATGGAGTCTGTGGTCTATTTCAAATTATACCGTGTGCTTTAGATAGCTAGAGCATTGATTTATTGAAAAACCAACTCACAACACCATCTGCTGGTGTCAAATTGTTTATTTTTTCCTTTATTCACTCACGGGATGAGGGTGTTGCTGGTTAGGCAGCATTTATTGCTCATCCCTAATTGCCCAGAGAGCAGTTAAGAGTCAACCACATTGCTGTGGGTCTGGAGTCACATGTAGGCCAGACCAGGTAAGGATGGCAGTTTCCTTCCCTAAAGGACATTAGTGAACCAGATGGCTTTTCCATCCCTGCTAGTCAGCAACGGATTCATGATCATCATTAGATTCTTAATTCCAGATATTTATTGAATTCCAATTCCACCATCTGCTGTGGTAGGATTCAAACCTGGGTCCCCAGAACGTTATCTGGGCTTCCGGATTAACAGTCCAGCGATAATACCACTAGGCCATCGCCTCCCCTATAGCAGTTGCGTTGTCATAGAGTCCCTTCAGTGTGGAAACAGGCCCTTCAGCCCAACAAGTCCACACCGACCCTCAGAGCATCCCACCCAGACCCAACCCCCTATAACCCACCTAAGCTACACATACTCCAGGTGCACAGCAATGTGGTTGACTCTTAACTGCCCTCTGGGCAATTAGGGATGGGCAATAAATGCTGTCTAGCCAGTGACACCCTCATCCCGTGAATAAATAAAGAGAAAAAAACACCTGAATGCAACAGGCAATTTAGCATGGCCAATCCACCTAAGCCTGCACATTTTTAGACTGTGGGAGGAAACCCACGCAGACACGGGGAGAATGTGCAAACTCCACACAGACAGTCGCCCGAGGGTGGAGTTGAACCCGGGTCCCTGTGAGGCAGCAGAGCTAACCACTGAGCCACCGTACCACCCTCATTGTGATGACAATGCAACTGAAACAAGCAAATTCATTTCATGTCATGGTTGTATCTATCATTAAAAGAGAAACAAAGTATAAAATAACAAAAGGATTGCCGAGTATGAACATTTCAACATACAAGTAATTGCAATATGCAGATTTTCTTAATTTTTGATTGCAGTCCATACATCTTTATAACTTCTACAGGGTGCATACCAGATATGGCCATTGTGAACACTGTCATTGCAACATTAATGGCCACGTTTCTTTAGACAAGCTTTATAAGTTTCCAATTTTAAAAACGGAGTTCCAGGTGGAACCTGAGCTCACATTCACTGGATTACAAATCCTCTAGCATGACAACAGCGCTGTCAGATCCCATGGCGACTAGGGAGTTATCCAGCCTTTAGGGAAAAGTAACACGGGAAATGGTACCTTATCTTGGCGTGGGCTTCAGTACTGGTCACCAGAGCCAAGTAGAGCTCGTTCTCGAAGCGGGGAAGGTCATCGCAGTAAATTGCCTCTCCTGTGGCCTGCTGGATGCTCGATAGATGGGCCAGAGGCTGTCCAACTACATCTGTGGGACACTCGCCAGGAGGCACTTCCTGCAGGAGTTTGGATAGAAGGTAGTTGTGATTCCAATAATGGGAAGTAGGCGACCGGAAATGCAATGGTGCTGTAAGTCATGGTCAGCACCGCAATCTGTTGTGGTTCCCGAGGTGCCAAGCAATTGTCCGATTCATCATTCCAACAATCTGACAGCAGAGCAGGAGGCCACACAGCACATTGTACCTGTGCCAGCTCTTTGAAGGAATTGCCTAACTAAGTCTCGCACCCCAGCTTTCTCCTCGTAACCTTGGGAACTAGTATCTTGCAAATACATGCCTTTGAAAGCTCCCCATAGAATTTTTCCACTGGCTATTCAAAGCATGCGTTCCACATCTTAACAATCCTCTGTGTGATGTAGCTTTTCCCTGTTTCCCTAAAATCAATGATTACGAACCTATTTGCTTTACTAAAACACCCATCAAATTTAACTTGTTCGCTGTTGAGAACAATGCCAGGTTTTCCGAGTAACAAAGGACCCCCAGCCCTCGTTTCCTCCTGGTAAATCTCCTCTGTAATTTCTCCAGGGCCTTGAGATGTTCGGGAGGTACAGTACATGTTGTAGACAATTCCCGAATCAACCTGTTTAGAGATATTGTGACACATTCTCTGGAGCAAGGGGCATTTGAACCCAGGTCTCCTGATCCAGAGGTGGTAACACGATCACTGCATCACAATAGCTCTTGGTGCCCGTTATACAGTTACTTGTACCTGGATGACAATTAGATGGCACAAGACACATGATGTCCCAGTAAAAAGGGTCTGGTCTCCAGGTGCTCTATCAATGCAGTGAGCTTTATGTAGTGCTGCAGTACAGGACAGGTACAGGACAGGAACAACATGATGTTGTGCGGACATGATGCCATATTAAATTAATTCCTTCTGCCTGCCCTTAGTCCATATCCCTCCACTCCTTACTTATTCATGTGCTTATCTAAAAGCCCTTTAAACGCCCCTATCATACCTGCCTCCACCTCTACCCCTGGTAGCAGTTCCAGGCACCTACCACACTGTGTGTAAAACATTTTCCCCTCACACCTCCTTTGAACTTTCCCTTTCTCACCTTTAATGCATGCTCTCTAGCATTAGACACTTCAACTCTGGTAAAAAAAAGATTCTGACTGTCAACCTTATCTATGCATCTCATAATTTTATAGATTTCTGTCAGGTCTCTCCTTAGCCTCTGCCGCTCCAGAGAAAACAACCAGAATTTTTCTGGGATAGTAGGAACTGCCGATGCTGGAGTCTGAGCTAACAAGGTGTGGAGCTGAATGAACACAGCAGGCCAGGCAGCATCAGAGGAGCAGGAAAGCTGACGTTTCAGGTCCGGACCCTTCTTCAAAAAAGGGCCTGCTATGTTCATCCAGCTCCACACCTTGTTATCTGAAGAGTTTTTCTAGCCTCTCCTTACGGTTTATACCCTCTAATCCAGGCAGCATCCTGGTAAACCTCTTCTGCACCCATTCCAAATTCTCCACATTCTTCCTGTAATGTGGAGACCAGAACTGAACACAATGTAGCTGTAACATCAATTCACACAGAATCCAGATTACACGTGATTCTGAGATTTTATGATGGTGTAAATAGCGAACGTTGTTAATAAACTTTAATGTGTCTGTCTCAACAAGAACCCAGTCTTCTGTGATGTGCGCAAACATAGGGACGCACTTGGACCCTATCGTATTGATAGTTTGACCTAAGGAAGTATATCAGTGTCCAGAATTGTACACAAAAGCCCCAGCGATTTTTGGATACCAAGTGAATGAATGGATAGACCAAGTAAGTGGAACAGATGGGGAAGATTAGCTTCTTATCAAAAGGTAGACCAAACCTGGCAGAGTTGAAGGTGTGCTATGGTGTACTCATATTTCTTATACGTTTATGTAAAGGACTTACTTTTCTTTTGAACTCGATTTGCAAAGTCAATTTCCCCCCTCGGCCTTCTCATTGATAATTTGCACTCTGGCCCCCTGGCGTATGGATGGTGAGTTTCAGTGGGCTTATTGACACAAACTCTGGCCCAGTCCCAGATTTGTATATAGCACACACCACTTTCGAGTGATAAGCACTGAATAAAAGTCGAGAACATTTGCTCAACAGAATAAGGCTGCCGTCCTTTTCTTCAAATTGACTCACCAGCTGGAGCTAGAGGGATGGAAAGGTACACA